GCTCTTAGAAGGTGCCAGACTGACAGCTTTGAAGTCTACAGAACAGGTTTTGCAGAGACATCAGAAGTCCCAGTTCTCCTGCACTTCAATTGTTCTGAAGCACTGCGACTGATTGACTATAAAACAGCCTAAGTTATATCCAGAATCTAGCTGTAATTTGCCATCTCCTAGGATATTCTGTTCTTTCCCTGTCCAGAAGTGCCCCAATTATATTCCTTAGTTCATTTGAATACTGTCTCAGTTTGGCAACTATTGCGTGAAGCGACCTGTAATTGTAGTGCTGCCTTGTGGACTGAGTGGGCAGTGATGCTGGCTTCCTTCTCCTGCTCCAGGGACTGCCCTTCAAATTGCCATGGAGACCTGCTCCCGTGGGCAGTTTGCGTTCTCACTACCTGTCCTCAGCCCCACTCCAGATAAACTTGAGGAGTCAGATCTTCTGGGCTATTAAATCAGCGCCTCTCACAGCTGCCAGTTTCACAGACTAATCAACCCTCAATTATGCAGCATAACGGCAGTGGCAGAATAACCCAAATAAAACAACACCAAGGCTGATACAAAAGGTAAATAAATTAGGCAGTAAGGATCTATTTAGTGCGCTCACCTTTGAAAAGCTGGTAAGCAGATTCCTGTAGAGAACAGAGGCAGCTTTAAGCAGGCAGAATGGGGCTGGGTGCCAGCAGGATGAACGTTGCTCCATTCAGACGTGGTGCTGCAGCCAGGAGTGATGGAGGAAGGCAGGGCCTGGTGAATCCACACCGTGGGTAATCCATCCAGGTGTCACTGAGACTTGCCTGAAAATTTTTAGTTTTCATTGGAGATATTATTTCTTTAAGAAAATACACTGCTGATGCTAATCAAAAAGTGGAAATAGACAGTCGGTCAATGCTCCATGGCGTTTTGAGTAAGGGAATTGTTGCTGATAGAAGGGGCAGATTATTCTCTTTTGGCAAAGAGGAAAAAAAATGCAGTTTTACGAGAGGTACAAATTCTTTTTTAGCTGTGATAAACAAATTTTGCCCAGGGCCAGAGAGGCAAAGCTAAACTTTCTCCTCCCCATCTCTGGCCATATCACTCTGCAGCTGCGCAATTCTCCAGGGATAAGCTCATGGACACACTAACTAGCTCTCAAACAAAAAGCTTCATTCTTTGTTTTTGGCAGTGAAAGCAGTGAGAAGCAACAAGGCAGGCACACAGGTTGTGCTGAATCCTTTGGGATGATCTCTCCCATGAACCTCCAGGGGGTAGGACCGGAGCAGCAGCCTTGCTTGCCTGTCACTGTGCGGTACCCTTTCCCAGCTGTGTTGCGAAGCGTAACCGTATTCAAAATGGTCTTGCTTAGTCTGAGAAAACAGGTCTGGGTAACCAAAATATCAATCAGTCTTCTTGGTTTTGACTCTAGGGTCTTGCATTTAGGTACCTAGATACAGCGCAACTGAGTACCGCAGCAGCTTACACAGATAGTTCAGCCACAAACAGGTAAAGACCTACACAACCATGTGAAGGGTGTAAAACAGACTATCTGACCTGCAGAAAGCTAGTATGGATCCAGTATAATGTGAGATCAGAGAAAGTGGCCTGAGCAGCAGTAACTCTAGCTCAAATTTCCTGTGTCTAGGCACAGTTATCAAGAGAGTTGCAGTAAACAAACTTACTAGCTGTCTGTGTCCTGATCTTCATGCTACTGTGGTTGGAACTGGGAGGAAACATGAAGCTATGCATGGATACGGTTTTGATGGCACTGATTTCTATAAACATTACAGAATATGAACATCTATACCGATACTGTTGACTTTAGCCACATACAAGGTCTAGTAACAGTGAATGCTTTAATGTTGTTGGCTTTGCTCATTCCACCTTGACAAATTATGGATGATATGTTTAATTTCCCATTACTGAACCTGACTGCTCCTTAGATTACGGGAGGACTTTTATTTTCTTTTGCTGATGGAGAACTGAGGTACATTGTAGGGCTGTGCCCAAATTATATAGGAAGGTATGGCAGAGCAGGTAATTGAAATAAGCTTTAGCTGAACCCTATCTCGGTTCTTTCATGCATATCTTCAATCCTGCTTAACTCTTCCTCACGTATCAAATTCATCCAGTTTTGCTTGAAGAGAGTAAAGGTTCTCTTAATGCCTTGAGGTCTGAAAGATCTATCCTTTCTTCCTTGCTTCATCAAGGTCTTCAGGGAAATAACAAGAGACTGTGGCTTCAACACTGAAAATATGATGCAGGTACCCGTCTTTCACAAAGGATGCAAATAGTGATTTCCCTTGTATTTTTGTTGTCTGAGAGAAATAAACGCACAGATGAATTGTGTTCAAGGAGAGAAGCGGTATGAACAAGAATAAGCTGGATTACACTTTCCTTCTCTGTTGAGGGCTGCTGTACTCTGTCAAGCTGAGAAGCAGTGGTTGTGCCCTGCAGGGACAGACTGCTTCTGAAGACAGCAATGGCAAAAACAGTCTTTTTACATTCTATTTAGTCAAAAGATTTTTGTCTTTATGGTTGGATTAGGTAGTTATCAGCATCCTTGACGGAAGCTCTCAAATATACAACCTGAGGTAGTTATTTTTAACTGGAACACACAGTCTGCCTTATAGGCAAGGAAGGTGATGTGGTAAATATGAAATAACATCTCACACTTGTGCTCCGTGGGCTTCCTGCTCAGCTTCCGATGCACTTCAAAGCTCCATAGCCGTCTGGTCTCCAGCTGTCTTACAAACAACTTCTTCACCCATGAAGCACGTTGTGGGTAGGGGCAGTTGTTTCACAGGAACCCAGAATACATTGTGTTCCCAGCATAGGTTCTTGCCTGACTTTACCTCCGGGGAACAGGAAGAGCCTGAGCTAGACTGTCCTCAGAGCTGTTTGCAAACTGTTCTCAGAAACAATGGCTGATGATTCATCTGGCATCGTCATCAACGATCTCCAGGCCTGCCTTTTAACAAACCTTCCCAAAATAAAGGAAGGGGACCTTCCCCAACAGAATCATGTAAGTTTTAGTGGTGGATCTACAGAAGAGTAATCTGTGTTTAAGAATGCTTGTAATCAAGTGATTACATATGCTTGCCCGAGGTCAGACAGCAAGCTAGTTTAGCAGCTCTGGGGACCCTTGTTCCTCTGCTGTGCTCACATGACAAGAGCACACTGACTCATCCATGTGTGGGGATACATAAATGCCTGCTTATAACGTGTTTTTGCAAGTTTTAGTAATAAAGCCAGATCTGTGAGGTTGCAATCCTTTCTATGGCAACAGAACACTGTCATCACCAACATTTTGACTTAAAACTTGTTATAGTTTGAAAAAAAAACCTCAGTTCTTTTTTTTTTTTTTTCGTTTATGCTAGTAACGCAGAAGGTCACTGGTTTAATGTGCGTAACCTTTTAAAGTTATTTCTTTGAGTAAACATTTGCTGGAATATATCCTGTCTGGGTGATATCTTTTGCAAATGCCTGATGTTATGCTACCTAAACAAACCTTTCTTTGGTGAGCCCAAGAGAAAGGCCCACGTGGGGTGGCCTTTCCAGAGGTATGCATCGTAGTATAACAACAGCCCAAGTGATATTACAATATCTGAAAATAAAACATCCCAAGTAGGGAAAATTGGTGGTGTTTACCTTCAGCAGTAGCTAGCAGTGAAAGGATGGTGATGACTGATGAAGACTAAGACACACTAATGAAGGAAGCTTGTCCTACTCAGCACAGCTGTGAGATGATGGAGATTTGATATCATGCTGGCATCTCTGGGAGTGAAATGTACCTGGTAAGGAGAGCCTACATAAGCCCATAGAGAAGACATCCACCCCAAATCAAAATCATGGATGTCTGCAACATGAAATATGTGAAATATTTACCTAAGGAAGTTAGAACCATGCTTTTAAAAAAAAGAACCACAACTGTCTACTGTACCAAAAAAAAAACCCACCCAAAAATCCTGTGGAAAGAGGACTAAATATTGGACTAAAGAGGTGAAACAAAGAGAAGTGCAAATGAACAAAGAAAACTTTCAGCATGGGACTGCAGGGGATGCTTGTGGTTGTTAAAGCACACATGGTTCTGCCAGAAGAAACTTCTTTCTTTCTGTTTTTTGGTGTTGTTTTTTTTTTTTTTAATAAGCTTTTAACTAAAAGTTAGTTGTCCCTATTAGATTAGTGGATGTAAATAGTTATCACAGGGGAATATTAAAATCCTTGAAGCTCAGTTAATTAACAGCACATCATTTTTAAGCAGCAAACTTTAGCTTAAAACCCCCATATCCTTCAAAAACTTTTTTTCTCTTTCTTATCTTCTTCTCTTGTACATCAGTAGATTAAATCAGTGCTGGGTGTTTACTTATGTTTCCTTAAATACCAAGAAGACAACAAAAGATATTTAAACACTATACATGTTGTACTTCATGGTGGTGCAGGAAAAGGTACAGAAATGTGCCCTTTCTTGGGATGCATCAACTCGCACACATTCCTGGAAAAGACAACAGGGCAAAGGAAAAAAAAAAAAAAGCTATGGAAAAAAAAATCATTGACAACAGAAGCTTACGTTGCTGTGTCACCTTCCATGTCATATGAAAAAACCTTTTCCAAAATTTGAAAGCATTTCTTAAGAGCAGTCAGAAGCATATTGGTTTTTTTCTTTTTCCTTTTCAAAGCAAAGCAAAGTTCCACCCGTGCTGTCTGTCTCTTTTTTTCTCCTCTCTCTTAAAAAAAAAAAAAAAAAAAAAAAAAAAAAAAAAAAATTTGAGAATTTCATTTTTCTATTCACTGCAGTCCTGGCCAAAGTAAAGCCCTCTTTTACATTGACGTCAAGATCTTTACTGAGATTAGGGTTTCATTTCTCTATTGCAGCAATTAGCTAGGGAATGTATAAAAGGCTTCAGGGAAGCAAGCTAGGACTCCAGAGGGGAAAGCACTTTGCACCATAGGCAGATAGCAAGAGAGAGGGCGAGAGGAGGAAGGCAGGAACAGAGAGAGGCGGGGGGAGGTGGGGGGAGAGAGGGAAAGAGAGAGAGGGAGGGAGGAAGGAACAGAAAGTTTATGTACATAAACCTTTTTTTTTTCAGAAAAGTATTGTTGCACCTGGTAGCTAGCTTTACTGACACAGAAATGAGAGGTCTGCTCAGTGCTTAAATAGCTGAGAAACAATGGGATAGTGCGGGAAAGTTAACAATTAACAGTCTCAGCTTAAATTTTGTAACTGCAGGGAACTGGAAACACAGCTGCCTCTCTCTTCAACAAAATCAGGTCTCCTGGTAAAGGGAAGAATTTCTGTTAACATCTTAGTTTCTGAAAAATAAGCAGCTCCAAGTTGAATGAGTATCATGCCGTTACGGTTTTAACCAGCCTGCTCGTGTTTAACTATCTCTGCTCATTTTAAAGAGAGAGGCTGAGAGAGGGGTAACGAGGCTTTTGAAATGCTTTTTACTTTACTTTTTTAAATGAGGGTACAGGGCAGAAAAGGGAGCTGAAGGCATCCGGCTGAAGAGAAGCAGCAGCGAGGAAGATGGGTCTGCTAAGTGTGGATTTGCTGATCACGCTTCAGATCTTGCCGGTCTTTTTCTCCAATTGCCTCTTCCTTGCGCTCTATGACTCTGTGATCCTCCTGAAGCACATGGTGCTGTTTCTGAGCCGGTCTAAGTCTGGGCGCGGTGAGTGGCGGAGGATGCTGACCTCGGAGGGGCTGCGCTGCGTCTGGAACAGCTTCCTCCTGGACGCCTACAAGCAGGTGGGTACCCGGGGATGGGGACTGGCAGGTTGGGGTGGGTGAGCTGTGCTCCACATCCCTGTTGTCAGGGGGAAGGGAAGGGCTGGCTCCTATTTGATGTGAAGTTTGACGGGGAGAGCTACAAGCTGAAAGGAGCAGTGCTTTGTAAGCCAGGGCTAAGGGTTCACGAGATTCCGGAGCTGCTGTCCCCCTGCTCTGCCACTGACTCTCTGTGCAGCCCTGGCCATGTCACTTAGTTGGGCTGTGCCTCAGTTTCCCCACCACTACGAATAATATTCTTCATGTTTATGAAGTATTTCAAGATCTTCATATAATTGTAAAATGCTCTAGGTGTTTTCACAGGTGTTGATTAATTGTTTGCCACGTGAGATACTCGGAGATTGTACAAAGGCTGCATCTTCAGATAGAGCTCTACATAGATAGATGTCACCAATGTAACATAGATAAAATTGTTTTAATTAGCGTAAAAGACAGAAATGAACCCGTGTCATTACACTGGCATTTTCTATTACTTATATGTTCATTTTTATATTGGAGGAAGCATCCAGGTAATAGTAAAACTGGGTACGGAGTGAAACAGTGAGCCTTTTTTCTTCATGAAAACAGTGACAGAGGGACATGTCAGAGATTAAAAATGAACTTGACTAGCTGAGGGACAGCTACCTGGTGATTTAAGTTAATAAAGCCAATAGCAGTTATGCAACATGTACTTTTTTTTTTCTTTTTAAGTTTTGTACAAACATTACCCAGTGGTACTGCCCAGGTCTCATGAGGTAGTTATAGTTCCCTTTTATAGATTGAAAAGGTGGACCCAAAAAGATGAATTTTCTTGCACAGGCCACCCAGTAAGTAGAAAAATTGGATTCAGAGCTCTGTGGCTTCTGAAACAGTGCTTAGTCTGTTAATGTGTTGTCTTATTTAGACCATCTAATTTAACGCATCCCGTGTGATGTCATGAGGTCATAGGGGTTCTATCCAAATGATAGCTATGTATCTTCTGAAATATTTCTCTTTGTATTGCCTTCTCCCCAGTCCCTTTTTGCTACCCCACAACGGCTTTTATATTTGCTCTTATCTAGAGATGTGAAGAGCTAGCGGTGTTGGTGTCTATTGGCTTTGTGATATGCAATACAAGCTGCTTAGCCTGAAACCCAAGCCACGGGGACATTAATTTTCAGTGTAAGACAAATATAAATAACATTAGCTTTTGCCAAATGGGTCAACCTCTTACTGCCACCCTAGGAATTGGCCAGCTGGCTACCCAAATAAAGTAATGCTGAATGAAGCTCTGTATTCTCCTAGCCCTTATAGTTTCTGTTTCGAGTCTCTTCATAGACATTAGTAAGTAAAATTTACACTGGCCTTGTTAGATGGGCAGGTGAATGTAACTGTTCCCATTTTACAGACAAGGCAAGGCAGGACAGTTAACACACAACTTGGCCAAGGCTCCAGTGGAAGTTGGTAGCACAGCTCTGAAACAGCTAAGTTCTCACATTTGCAACCTGTATGTGGCCCAGCATCTGGAGAAGGTGTGAAACTGTAAGGAACCTTGTATCATTTTTCTTTAATAACACATTATTTATTTTTTTTTTAAATAAAGGTGTCACGTGCCTTTCTGTACTTTTCAAAGCCATATTTTGCCTTTTCCTCAGTACTGTTGGTGTCATCCATAGAAGCTACAGGGAGGATGACTCTGTGCTATTCTTGGTGCTGGCAATGAAACACATACCTTGAACTTTGGTAATTAAAAACTCTCCCTTATCACCATTAAATGACCTAGCCAGTCAGGCTAATGAGGCTTTAGGGTCCCTAGAATGAATTCTGGTCCTCAGTGAACACAGCAGAAAAATGCATATAAACATAACCAAATTTTATCACCTTGTCACAAAAAGAGGAAAGAATCCATTCATGCCAGCTATCCTTAAGATGAAACTAATTGTCTGACAATTCATAGAAAGACTTTGTTTTCCTTAATAGAATTATGGGCCATAAGGACAGAAGATCATTGGAAACCGTTGATTGTTACAGAAACATAGATAAGTGTAGAAATCAAATTATAGAGGAGACACAATAAACTGAGGAGCAATATTAGGAGAAGAGACATCAGCTCCACAATTGAGACTCTGCTGCTGCTTCTGTAAGAAAGAGATAGGAGTAAACAGTTTCAGCTGGAAAGCTGTACTGGTAGAGTTGAAAAAATTTTAAATGTACCCTGCTTTGTGGCATGTTTAAAAAGCATGAGAAGTAGCAAAATATATTAAAACTGTCACACAAAGCAACTTTTTCCTTAAAGTATCTTTTTCTGAATCCTAAATAGGGATACTCAGTTGTGATATCTTAATCTTAACCAATTAGTGAGGATAGGAAATGAAAATATTAATTATGGAATCAGGATATTAAATTGCATGGTAAAATGCAGTTGATACCATAACTGTGATTGCTTATTGCTCCAATTTGCCAGCTAATGCCAGGTATTAGCAAAGAACATAAGCAGGTGCTTAGGCTGATTCCATTGAGTAGTATTTATGAAGTAATCACCAGTTTTCAGCTAGAGTGCCAGAACTGCAGATGTCTGAGATAAATCAGAGCTAGATTGCCAGGTAGCAGAAGTCGGGGTTAAAGCAGTAACTATGCTTGGGTTTACTGGTTTAAGTGACACTATGTTTTGTGTCACTTACATAGAACTCTTCCTGAGTACATTTCATAGTGTTTTTCACAAAAGTACTTGATGTAAAATTTCCATTCACAGAAAAAATTACTGGAAGCCATTCCAGAAAAACCCTGTGGGTAGATACTAGATTCTGGATTAAGGTAAATTTACTACAAGAAAGGGGTACTGCCTTGAAAGCTCACAGACTGCCCCAGAATTACATGATTTTGTTTCAAGACTAGATTGTACAAGAAATGATCTTGGAATAGTTTGAGTATATTTGAAAATAGCTGTTCTGATAAATTTTTCTTCTAGAAAAACTTTTGAATGTCTTACCCAAATTTCAACTTGCTTTTGTTCTCCTTTTGTTATTAGGTATTACTGCACATGACTTTTTTGTTAGGGCAATTATTTCATGGGCAAGATTACCTAGCAACAGCTGAAGATTTTAACATCCTCAGTAGGGAAGCAATACAGAGTTTGTTGTATTGTATGTAGAGTATATTCAGTATACTTCTTTTATTGAAACATTCTATATGACATGTTTTCTCCACATTTACAGTTCCACTGGAATCAAAAGGATTGATCTTTTGTTTATTTTTATTTTCCGACATAAATTTTATCAATGATTAATATATTTCTCTTTGCTTCCTTATCTCTGAGTTCAGTATCTGTCACACTCAGTGTTGATATTGTCTACACTGCACCAGCTTTGTGATTTATAGAACATCCTCCTCCAATCCTTTCCCAAGAGGCAAGCGTGTCTTACATTCCAACAAGGGAGTCTTTAGGGCCAGATTAATTGTCATAAATAAAGCTAGTAGTCAAGTTACATTAGCTTTATATAGTTGAAAGAGTTAAACTGTTTTATTTAGGTGTTATTTTTCTAATTTACTGTTGTGCTTTGTTTACCTACAGAAATGAGTGGATTGACTCCTGAAGAGCAAATCATGCATGTATGTGTGTGTAGGTATTTGCACTTTCTTATGCATTTGTATATATACAGATATATCTGTGTGTGTATCTGTCTATATATATGTACATATGTGTATGTGTATAAATGCAAAAATACACACACAGAGGCATAAATAATTTGCTCTTTTGGGAGTTCATCCACTCTCATTTCTCTGTATATGTACACATATATATGTGTGTATGTATACACATGTGTAGGTAGGAATGCAACCACAACTACTGATAAAAATAAAAAAACAAAAGACATTTTTGGGAGAGTGTTAGTCTGCATGATTTATATAGGCCATCTGTATTAATGCCAGTGAGGCATTTGTTTTAGCCCACAGCGTGTATACTGAATGTGTCACATCTTACAGAAATCCAGAGAAAAAGCTAAAGAAGTTTTGAAAAAAACATCGTATTTACTTCCAAAAGCTTTTATTACCTGCTAAGTTCCATGCTTTAGTTAGTATTGTGATGAATCTGCTTTCTAGGAATCCAAAGGTAAGACATTGTTATCTTAAAATGCTTTTAGAATGGGTACAAAACCAGTTGCACCCATTAGCAGTGCCCAGTGGTGAAGCCTCACACTGGGAGGTTTTCCAGTGCCAGATACAAGCTTTGTGCTTCAGCAACACAGAGCTACTGTTTCTGCTCTCCAGTAGAGACCTGTAAGGCTATCTTAGGGGAAATCCTCCTTCTTCTCCACCATAGTGCAGGGGAGTTAGGGAGAAGACCTTAATGAAATTCTCCCTGAAGCACCCAAATGCTTAGGAATGCCGTGGTGGCACCTATGGGGGTATCATGCATGTATGCATATACACACGTGTGTAAATGTATGTGGCAGCCCCCAGAAGGATGCTGGTATCTCAAACGATGGATGGTTATGAGTGTGTGTATGTACTTCTGCAGATTTTTACTGTCTTTAGAGCAGGCCAGCAGCAAGCTCTGGCATGACAGATCCAGCATGGAGGGAACAGCTGGCACAGGATCCCAGCTTCACAGCAGAGGCCCAGCTCTGGATGTAGCAGCAGGTAGACTGGTTCGGTAAACACCCAGTGGGATTTTCCTGAGATTTCTGGGAGGCACAATTAAATTACCTTTGGCCGTTACTGCCTGCTTGATAGGTTTGCTTACTCCTGAAAAAAATCAGTATGCAAAGCAGGACAGCTCAAAAACTGGGTGTTAAGTGCACGCTGCACAGCATTATCACAGATAAATCTATATTATGAAAGTAATGTAACAGCATGATCTTTTTCCTGCTGTTTGGCTGTCCAGTAACTCTCTGCTTTTGGGAGAAATCTTTTAAAGGTTGGAACAAAGACATAACCTCTATACTTATTACTTGTATTTATTTTGTCTGGCAAGGTAAGGAAGTGTCTCTCTCTGCATTTTA